AAAAAAAAAAAAAAATTTTATAATTTTTTTTAATGGATTTCAGGTGAAATCATACAAACATTGCATTAGAATATGATCGGACGGGAAAATGAAAGAAGAAAATTCCTAACGAAAAAAAATGATTATTTTAAAAAAATAGAAGCAAAGACATGGGGAAATCAAATAACGAAAAAGAAATTTTTTTTTTTTCGCCCAAACGTATCAATTATGTCAAATAAACGAAGATCATTTCCTAATTATTTTTAATAGCAGATGTTGAATGCATAATTTAAATAAAACGTGCTTAAATTATTTGATGAGAGCAGGGACGATAATTTTTCGGACATAACCATACAATATGACAAACATGACAAAACTGCCGTTTTAGTTGGTTCAACAAAAAATCTAATCTTATCTTATTACAACATTCCTAATTAGATTAAGAGGCTTAGATTCAATCATTTCATTAATTATTTACGTTATTTACGCCATAAAATTATTATTATTAATTCAAAAGATGTATGACAACTTATTAAAAAAAAAAAAAAAATTTCCCTACATTATTTGTAATTGCTTGAAATGTACTACTAGGGAATTTCCATTGAAAAATTTTAAAATGAAATAACTTGATTTGACAAGCTAATATCTTTTTAATCATCTAATCTTATCTGACACGTTTTTAAAGTTTACTTTTCGTTTTTTAATATAATATATTATTATTATTATTATTATTATTATTATTATTATTATTATTATTATTATTATTTATCATCATTATTAAAAGAAATTATTTTCTTAATATTTAGTACAACCAATTACGCGTCATGTAAGGGGGATGAATATCTCAAAAAAACTTGTTTTTTTTTGAAATCCATTTATTGTTTTCATGCTTTCATTTAACGCCAATTTGACCGTATTGCGTTAGCATATCTTGGCCCCCCCACAATTTTCTTTCCTTTTCCTCGAGTTTCTAAGTTGCGATCGACCAAATAAATTTTATGTCGGTATATGACATAATTATTATCTGCAACCTCCCAAATCTAGATATTAATAGGGCTTTCTAAATTTTTTTTTTTATTGTATAAATAAATAATAATGTGAAACATAATTATGGGCTATTGTATTCAAAGCAATTGTTCATTGTTATTTTCCCCTAGATTAATACTTTTATATCTTACAATAGTGTCCTTAGGAATTTTCAGGAATTTCTCGGTTTTTACCGCAGCAAATAAAAACAATCGCGTGAATAAAAGATTTTTTTTGTTTATATTTTTTTGGTGCTGTTGTGGGTGTTGTGAGTTTGTGGCTATTTGGAATATTTGGAATGCCATGATCGAATGATTAAAATTGTGATGAAAAAATTGAATCATTTGACCAGCCAATAGAGCTCGTGAGAAAATGCCACTTTCCACCCCGCGAACGAAAAATACCTAAAATAGAAAATAATCAATATAAGGAAAAATAAATAAATAAATAAATATACAGTATATATATATATATATATATTATATAAAATATATATATAATATATATATCTGATATAATATGTATATATATATATATAAGAAGGAGTTATTGGCATATAATTATCATCAACCACTAGAAAGTTAAACTTTTCACACGAAGCAAATAATAAATAAAATTAAATCAAGATAAAAAAAATATTATCTTACATTTCATAACTGATAACCGAACTATAATAATAACAAATAATAAATCTGATAATTATTTATATAGACATTTTATTTTATTCATTTATTTTAGTTTAGTTTATAAAGTACATATTTTTTTTTTTTTT